GTGAAGTCTTTGGCACTGGTACAACACAGGAGGTTTTCCAGAGCTGTGGGACTCTTCCCAACCTCAGGCTCAGGTTGAAGAGGTGCTCCATCACCCCACACAGTTGGTCCGCGCAGGACCTGACGACCCTCGAGCTGATGCCATCTGGACCCGCTGCCTTCTTGCCATTAATCCTCCAATGTGCAGCACATATACTTAGAGAAAGCTCTAATACCATGTTTCAACATTTCTGAAAAGTACTGTACAAAGTAACTGGTGTAAATATCTGAGGGCTGCAGCTTTCATTACTTATTATTCTGCAAAATCTTAGAAACGAATCTTTACTAAAGTAACAAAAGAGATGCACATAACAACAACTTTGCCATAGACATGTTTATTTAGACTGTGGGTCACCTGCTGTCCAAAAGTTCTGTGTTTCTGTAAATATTGTTTTTATTGTAACACCAAAACAAAAACATCTTTTATCAGTACGGAGTGGAAGCAGTCAAACTCAGTGTGACAAGGACGATGCTGTTGCTCCAACAGTGGTTTCTCCCTTATTGTGTAAAACAAGGGAAGAGATCCAGGCTGTAGAAACTGTAAACCCTGATCCTGCACTGTGTGTAATCAGGCTTCTGGAGTCTCCTGGTCCTGTCAGTATTAGTAGGATGCATCTGCTGCGTCTTCTCGTGGATGCTCACCTACCTTGACTCGTTCCAGCCTGGTATGGATTTCCCGACACTGCGGACAGTGGCCCACGTCAGGTAACACGCTGGGATACGCTTTGTATGAGCAGAAGATAATGCTGATTTCTTACACGTTTTTTCTCTTCTGTTCTTCACATCAAACAAATTTGAATATTACACAAAGAAAACCTGAGTGAATACCAAGTGTAGTTTTCATTTATTAAGACAATCTATCCTAATCTACCTGGTCCCTGAACTCTTCTAAAGTAACTGGCCCTTGTTCCAGCATGAACAGCCTGTTTGAGGCCAAACAGTCTCAGTCTGGTCTCAGTCTGGACTTTGACTGGGTCACTGCCAAACCTTCATTTAGTTATTGAGCCATTCAGAGGTGGACTTGCTGCTGTTTTTGGGGACTTCACACTCCAACAGATGCATTAGAGAGGAACCTGGGGTTCAGTATTTCGCCCGAGATATTTCACACGTAGATCTAAACAGTGAGGAATCAAACCACCAACCTCCTGAGTTACAGACACCCGCTGTTCCCGAAGCAGCGAGCCTTTGTGTTCTTTCGTCCCCTTAATGAATGAAATAATGATTCAAAACCTGCATTTGTATTTATTCGATTGGCTATTTAAGAAACATTTAAGTCTAACAAATGTGAAAAAAAGGGAAATACTTTTATACTCTATATTATACTTAA